ATCTAGTCTGCCACCCCTTGCTCGAGCAGAGTTGGCTAGAACAGGTTACCGTGTACAATGTGTAGTCAGGTTTTGAATATCTCCACAAGTGGAGGCTCCGCAACCTTTCTAAAGTTGAGTTAAATCACATCGGCAGCTCTCCCCTCATCCACCGAGCTGCTCACCTCATTGTAGAAGGCTATTGGGTTCCTTAGGCATGATTTCTCCTTTGTAAATCCATGGGGACTACTACATATCACCTTCTTGTCCCTCATGTGTTTGGAAATGCTTGCTCCATTATTGTCCCAAGGATTTGGAAGGGAAAGTGAGACTGACTGGCATATGGTTCCCTGGATCTTCCTTCTTTAAGATAGGAGTGACATTTCTTTTCTTTCAATCTTTTCAGTAACCTCTCCCAATTGCCATGACATAACAAAAGTAAATGAGAGTGGCCTTGCAGTGACATCATCTGTGAGAAATTCCATCAACATGGAGAAGCACAGATGATAGCCCTTACACAAGTTACAGTGCCATGCTTTAGCCTGCAGTGCTGTTTCGAAGATGGCATCTTTGCTGATGTTATTTCAGCTGTGTGGTTTTCATCAGCCCCAGCTCCCACTTCCCTTAAAGTTCTGGGGGCCTCCCCAGCTGTACAGTGAAGTTGAAGGTGGTGTTTTGTGGGAAGATGCAGAGGCCTCTCAGTCCCACTTGAAGTATTGGGCTCTTTGCCTGTGGCAGGCTTTGGACTGGGGCACCTTGGTGACCTCCTAGGAGGGGTCTGCAACCCTTGGACATCTTTCAACTTGTTTATGTCCATCATCCTTTTGGTGCTGTTCTACCTTCTTGAAGTCTTACCCCAACTCAGACTGCTTGTTCTGCAGTCTGCTAAAGTGGGGGATCCCAACACAGCCTTTTACTTTTGTTTACATTTAACCTTGAATTATTTATTCAATTAGCTCTTATTAAAGAATGTTTGATGAATTTTATAACTGTTTTCAGCCAATCACAGAGCGGTGATATTAACAAAATGGCACCTCCCTGCCATAAAAGGGCAATGCCCTGTCAAAACAGTGGCCAAACCGAAGTAATGTTTCCTGTGTACGTATGTAGGCGTACATATGACTCATAACTCTTTACTGACTCCTTGTCATCCATCCCAAGGCAGAGTGCTGTGCATTTCCACTGCTCTCTCACATAAGGTGCAGTGTCCCCTCCTTGTCTTCCCAGCCTCATCTGCCTAAAGAGTGTTTTTATCCATCACAGCACTCCAGTTAAGTGAGTTATCCCACTATCTCTGTTATAGCCTTGTAACTGTGCTCAGATGCATGGTTCCTCCTTGTTGTTCACTGTGTTGTATGTGCTGGTGTACAGACATTGGAGAGAGACAAGTGTGCTGATTCTCCAGTGAGGGCAAGACAGCTCTCCCTGTAAGGTTTCCAAAGGTAATAGATTTTATGTGTTCATTAGAAATGACATGGTTGTTGAATTTTTCACAAATGAAGAAGAACATAGTAACTGAGGAAATTATAAAATCACAGAAATGTTCCTTGACAGGAATTTCTGCAAGTCATACCAAGTGGTACTGTTGCTAGTGCTAGGTCAGGTCAGCCATGACTGCTTCTAGCAAAGCATTGCAAACCTTTGTGACTGGAGATTTTGACACTCCTTGGTAACTTAAAGTGCTGTACTAATTTCTCAGTACTTCATGTGCAACATGAAGTATCCAAGTTGCCCTTCAAGTAAATAAAGAGGTTAAGCTGTTCTTGACAAACCAAGCAAACCCAGATATTACAACTTCCTTTTACAAAATATGTCCTTTATTGAAGACTCCAGTGTGACCAGGGAAGAGCATCCAAACCAAAGCTTAAGGCTTCTGCCTGCAAATTTACACATTCCAAAACCACAGATTGATAAAAGTGTCCGAATTTAATGCTCCTCAGAGTAGCTCTCCCTGTGCTAGTCCCACAAAAGATCACAGTCTCTGATAACCTCATTTCAGTTTTTCAGGACCATCCTAGGAGTACTCCTGGGGGAATGACTCTAAGAAGAGGATAACTGCTTTCTCTGGCAGATGAATTAAGGACATTCAGCATTTGCACAGATTCTAGTTCTGTAGCTTCTATTACTCCCAGGCTGTCATTACAGGTGTTACAGCACTAGACTCAAAGAAGAAATCAAAATTCCCTTGTCTTCCATCAATGTCCAGTTCATAGGAATCTTGTAGAGGAGTTTAAATTTGCTATATTCTTATGGCAATAGCACTAAGTAGGTATTTTAAAGTATATTCACCTACTTCCATACTCCATTCTCATTTCCTAATTTATGGCTGAAGAACTCAGATTTTGATGTTCTTGCTATATTTTGGATCATCCGTAGAAGATGATCTTGCTTTGCAAGAAACCTCTGAGATTGTCAGCTGTTAAACCCCAGTTTTGATTAATCCTGTGGATTATCTAGCCAGTGTGAGAAAATTTATCTGGTCTTACCTGAAAATCTCCTTTAAGCACCAGCCCTTTCCAGAGATGGATTAACCACCCAAATCCAGAGATGGCGATTGGCATCCAAAAACTTAATTTGCAGAAAGCATATCTCTGTTTTGTAATGTGTTTTGAAGTGGTAGAAACCATGTAGTTCTCATCTCTGCTCCTCTCAGAACGGTTATTCTGATCTGTAACTCAGAGAAGGATACTGCAAAAGCAAAAGGTGAGCACCTCTGCCTGATGGGAAATGATAGAATGACTCTTCTGCTGAGCTTTGAGTCTTCTTTCCTCTTTAAGTCACCCTCACACACCCCCTTTGATTAATATTCTGGTATCAACAGAGCAGTTAATGCATTGTGATAGTTTGAAAAATCCCGTTAATTCTGGTGAAAATATGTCTGGACAACAAAGTTAATATCTTCCAAAACTGAGGTTAGTTAATGTGCATTAAAATAAGACCAGAGATCGCTATGTCTTTCGAGACAGGATGGTGGTTTTTTGAATGGTATCTCTTACTGGTTTGAATCTCTATACCAGGCTGCTTCCAAATGAAAGCACCAGATCCAAAATGCACAGAAGATGTGAACTCTTCCTTCTGATCTGAAGAGTCTTTGAATCAGGTTTTCAGTTGCTAAAGAAAATGATATCCATCTTTATATCTCATGGAAGTTTTCTTTAAAAATTCCTGCATGGTGCGAAAGAACAGCCTTTCAAACTGTTTTCCAAGATTTATTGCTTCTTGATTCCTTAGGAAACCTGTGAGCTCATTAAGATACCATAAATGAAGGAGAGGGGAAAATATTAAACCAAAACCCATGATCAAAGTAAGACTTTACTGCTTCATAAGGGCCACTGTCTTCCTTACTCATCTGGACATTGACTGGTCTGAGAGTCAGTTGGAGAAAAGCTGGAAAATCTTTCTATCTTGAAAAGAAGAGCTAAGATAGGTAACCTTTATCTCATAGAACTTACCAAACAGAAGGAAAATATTACTGGCAGCTTTTCCAAAGTGTTGCTGACACCAGCAGAAGGGAGGGTTTTAAGAGCCACCTGGACACTGAAAAACCTTTCTGTGCTAGGCTTTGGCGGTGCATTCTGCTTGTCCATGTGGCTTTTTCATTCTTGTCCTTTTGGTGCAGGTCATCTTTCTGTTAACTTTTTGTTTAAATAAAGGCCTGTTAAAGCCTAATTCAGAGTGTCTTTCTGTCACTGCAGTTGTCCTGAAATCAATTCCCAGCACTGACACTTGTTTTTTCAGTCATGATGTTAGTATTTCCTAGTAACAAACCTCCTGTGCTTATTGCCACTTATGGGGGCCATATTTAAGCTGTTCCGTGTATTTTTCATTGTATCATTTTTGCTTCAGGCAAGATTGCCTGTTTTAACACAGCACAGAAGAAGGTGGGGAGCTTTCTGTTGTCTGTAACTGGGCCACAGACAGCCCAGGGCATGTTATTCGAAGTGGAGTACAGAGACACACGCTGCTTCTTTTTGTCCCTTGTGGTTGTCTCTCAGTGTTTGGTTTCTAAATGTCTCTGTTCTATTCCAAGTGCATTAAGAGGTCTCCTGGTGTTTAACCAGCACTAGGAAGTCTGATGGCAAGAATAAATCTTCCCTCCGCTCTTTCTCTCTCATACTTAGTTGTGCGGCTTTTCCATCACTCATTTTGTTCATGACATGGAAAAGTCAACAAGAATATGGCCTCATCCCTTTTCCTGATGCTGTTCAATGACTTCAAGAGCAAGTCTATCAATATAATTCTATTAATAAACCTTACCAGAATGACATTTCCTACCCCTTCTTTACCCTACCTTGTTTGCTGCTTGGTAGTTTTGCTGGATTCTGCATTCATTGTCTTACTCTGAGAAGCAGGAAATGTCATTATTTATGTATACGCTAAGAAACTACAAATCCTATTACCAATACATAAAATCATCTAGCACTTACTGAAAATTGTGACCACAATGCTTGATTCTGGTAATCACCTATGGCATAACTGATCAATTTACTTCTCAGTTATGCGAAGCAAAATATACTAAAAATGCTTGCTAGTAGTCCCCTTGTTCCTATTATTGGAAAAGACTGAAGAGACGGGCTGTTTGGTTTTCCTACTGACCTCTGGAGTTCTGAATGTTTCATTCACATCCTGTCTAGTAATACTTCCCAGGCTAGCTAATCCTGTGCACAATCTCCTTCTGTACAATATGTCAGTGTTGGCATACCTCTGACCATCTGTGTTGCCCTTTCCTAGGTCTTATAAATTCTTCCTATATCTTCTTTTCGATAATGCAACTAAACCTGGATATGGTGCTGTATTGTGAAAGTTTGTATTGTATTAGTTCATGCAATGCTCAAAAATGTAGAATAAAATAAAAGAACCCGTTTCCCACTCTGGTGATAGCATTTGTCAGGGAAAGACTTGTTTTGGGGTTTCTCTCTCTCTGAGTTTATCTGGACTTCTCATTTCTCTTGAAGCATTTGAGATTCTTATTGTTTCCTAGAATGTTGTAATTTTTCTGGGCACAGTGATGATGACAGATAGATGTTGAGGTATTGAAAAGAATTCAGATCTTGATCAGTGAAATAGCAAAGTGTGGGAGATCCTGTGAGGAAAGTTGGTGTTCCTTTTGTTTGCTTTTAAGCTCAAAATATATGTACCATAGCTTGGCTAAATTACTCGGTAAGTAAAAGTGACTGACTTTATGATAGTGTTCTGTGGTGACATAAACACCAGGGGAAGGAGAGATTTGAGGGTTGCCTGGAGGATGATGATTTCTAATCATGAGAGGGAAACAAGCCAACATTTTTTGAGAAGAAAAATCTAGTGAAATTTATTATGCTGTTGAACCATTTCTCTAGGGAAAGAATGTCAGTGCCATCACTCTCACACAATTAAATACCAAGCAGCATATATTATTTCATTATATGGTGAAAAAGGAATTAATAAGATGACTTGATATATTTTTTTCTCCTTTCACTCTCCAGGATTCAGTTGTTCCAAATAGAAAGAGGTGGATCCTGTGAGAATAAGAAGCTGTCAGAACATTTTTTATAGTGTTCATGTAGTATAAAAAATGAGAATGGTATAGAATAAACTGTCAGGGAAAGGTAGTTTATTGCTAGAATGCTAGCTAGCTTTGGTTGGTATGGTGTATGCAATTAAGTCCCATGTCAGTAGCATTTGTCATGGGACCTGAGGTTTAAAGCATAAATTTTAGCATCAACAGTACTGCTACTCTGTAGAAAGACAGGGAGAAAAACAGAGAAGAAAGCACAAAAATCAAGGAGCTGTGGAGAGGAGAAATACTAAATTTGTCTTAAACTCTTAGAGCTATTTGGTATGGGATGCCCCCTTGTGGAAGATTTTAGGATGCCATGTCTTTTATTAAATCTCTTGCAAGTCTTTCTGACTTTTTACTCTCTTCAGTCATTGTAGATAATCCTGCTTGCTTATATCAGCCTTCGTCTTTAATAGCCCCTCCATCACCTGATTTTTTATGTAATCTGAACTTTCAGTGTAACTTAAGGGTGGAGAAATCTTACTTTGGGAGGTAGAAAGTCTGTGAAAAGGAGAATTTAGCTTGGAAATCAGGCGTGGTGAGAACATGATCAGTGCAGATACTGTGGTGTAGTTGTAGTACTGCACTAAATAAGTGTTTTTACAAAGCTCTGGATGATACTGTAATCACATCGTGTGCTTTGGCATGCTACCCAATCACTACAGAAGTTGGAAAGGAAAGTTGTCTTCCATGGGACATTAGAATTGCAGGAAAAAATAACAAATGTCGATATATCTGCAGCCTCAGCTGATGTACGAATTCATTTTGCATTGTAAAGGACTGTCCTCCCAGCATGTTCATATGTCTGGCATTCAAGTTGCATCCCCACAGTGGTCTGCCTAGGGACAGCACCAGACCTTTGTTGCAAACATTTCACATCAAGTATTGAAGACTTCTTCTTCTTAATAAGGCATTGTGGAAAGGTGAAGGTGCAGGTGACTGGTCTTTTGCCAAAAAGCAAAATGTTTTGCTCCTGAGTTTACCAAAATACTGATGTGGCTACCACAAGCAAGTGAAGGTATGATCTGCCCTGTATGGAAGCGTATATAGAAGGCCTCCTGAACTGAGACCCTGTCAAAGGCACAGAAGCCATCTGTCTGTTTTTCTGCCCTGCAGCTTTGATTCTTCTTCTGCTCTTGGTCCTTCTTTTTAGTCTTCGTGTCCATCCCATGGAGCACCAGTGGGCTCATCACTTTTCTGATTTCCTACACTTGAAGGTAGCTCTCCCCTCATCTAAGCGATTAGCTGCTTCTGACTTTGTCTAATTAAACATAAATGTGAGCCTTGTAATTTCCTAGCTACCTTTCTCTTCTAGACTCAATCTCAGTCGAGACTGTGCTGCAGAATTTTTTCAAATGTAAAGAGATGCTGGTAGGGGCTTCTTTCTTCTATCTCTGTTGCTGCTATCTCATAATTGGCATTAGATCCCAAGGTGTGACTCTTCATGGGCTGATCTTTCTATTGATCGTATTTGTCCTTTAATTTCCCTTCCTCTGTAAGCCTTTTGCCCTGATCTTGCTCTTACCACCACCTTGTTTATCTGCAATGATCTATTACTTTTGGCCCGATGATTCCAGAATTCACTGCACTCTTTCAAAACACTTGAGCTAGGGCTGTGATTTCTGAGCCTAACAGAGTCTGAAAGTCCAAGGAATACATTTGTGAATGACCTTTAAAGGCTGAATTCAGGTTCTGATGGAAAGTTACACTGAACAATTTCAGACTTTGGTAGAAACTTCTTTGGAAACCTTTCAAGTCTCATCCATGGGGTATTATGAAGTCATTGATTGAAGTGCCATCAGCTAATGGCAATGGCAGCCCTGGAAGCTTAGAAGTGCCATTTAATATCTTAAATGAATGTTGTGTGGTGAGAGCTGCTTCTGACCTCCTGAACCTTTAAGGTCTCAGCCTAAGCAACTGCCTGCAGTTCTCATCTAACGGTGAAAACAGCTGAGCCATAGAGTAGATTCCTGAGTGGGCTTGAGGCACCAAAACTGCAGCAGTTCAAGGACAGAGTAGATGAAATTTAAAGCAGGAGCAATAGGGTGGCTGGTTCCACAAACTGCAGACAGTTTAAACCTGTAGCAATATCTATTGGGTCCTGCAGCAGAATATAATCACGAGGCTTCTGTTTAGTATCCCCCCCCCAGCTTTTTACTGCTCTTAAGTTCACATTGACCTTGCTGACATACCATGGAAGGCAATGTGAAATCAATTCAAAACTATTAATCGGAGAGGACAGATTTGAGGGAAGAGATGAAAGTCCTGTAGCCCTCCCCTGCCACACGTGTGTGTGTATGTTTCGTACCAGTCTTAGCACAGGGATAATAGGTGTTTGACTTTTTTCTGCTACACACACTCATATTGCAGCTGCATACAGGTCTGTTATAGGAAGCAGATGTGGTGACGTTTATCCTCACCCAGTGATGCAAAGCTCCCCAACTCACTCTGAAGAATTACTGTGTGTTGAGTTTCGGAAGCAGAGGTGCTTCCCACTCTCCTTACAAGAATGCTGAAAATTTCCTCTATTATTCAGTGCATGTTCTTGTGAGCTTTAGACACTTGTGCAGTTTTCCTCCAGATTGCTAAACTAAAACTTAAGTGCAAAGGGATGTGGAAATTACCACCAACACAATATAGTTACTCTCCATCTCTCATTTTCTTTTTCTGCCTACACAACACTATATTTTTGTGCTTGGTACATTGAGAGATGCTTTACTCTGCCTTCCTTGGGAATGCCTGTGAGCATCTTGCATAAGGACTACTCCTGGTCCCAATTTTTCACTGAACTGATGAATCTCCCTAGATGAAAAGCAGTTTCAAAAGCTTCAAGCAAACTAGGAAGAGAGCTCAGAGGGGACAAAAGGGTCACAAGGGAAGTAAAAGAAATTAGTATGTATATGATTATAAAAATATAAGCTTATCTCAAAGATAAGGTGATGTGATTGCAAGAAGATACTATTCTAGTTCTTCTTCCATGTTCTGTGAAGCAGCAAAACCAAAACAAGCCAGCTGTACCCGGAACTATCGGCCCTGCTGGTAAAGTCAACTCAAGACAGATATTTGCCTGCAATGATAGGTCTTCATCGTGCCAGATTTGTGCTCATCACAAGGAAGGATTGAAGCCTGGTTTAGTGGAGGAGCTATTCTCTGATGTTCACTTTCCTGTTTGAGTAAGAGTATGCAAGCACGATGGGGTGAACTGGGTGGGGGGAACCTGCTAGATGACAAGAACTCATGTTCCACTGCTGACAGGTGAACACCAGCAGCTTTGGGATATTACTGTTAGTAATGATTAGGTGCAGTTTTGTTTTTCCCATACAGTGGTCCAAGTAAATTGGAGCAGAAATACTCTGAGTTGGGGGTGGTGGGTTGCACTTGTATCCCCTTATCACTTGAAGATGATGTGAATTTCACCTCTGACCTTGACAAAGGCTAGAATCGGTGGGAAACTAATAGTACTGTTGAGTAGTTCACAGATTTAATGAAAGTACAACTAACTCCTACATCAGATTTCACTGCACAGTGATCACAGGTCAGATGGGAAGTTGTATAACAGCCATGAGCTAACTTTGAGCTAGTACTAAAAGATGGCCAGCTTAAGGCCCCCCATAATGCAATACTTGGCCCTTGTTCTGAAGACCTGCCCCATGACTCAAGATGGGAAACCTTATTTCCTTAACCAGATATCATACTATTAAAAGTGAGAAACAAAGTGAATTTTATGTTTTTTAGCAACTATGCATTTCCTTCAGGTTCTTTTACTGATGGAGAGTAGCAAAAGTTGAACTTCCTGTAGAAAATGAATGTAGAAATCTGATTTTTTTGACATTGAACACAGGCAAACAACACTAAAGCTACGAAAACTCATACTAAAACCCAACATGGCTACCGGGACTGGGCATTTTATGACAAATATTTATTGAAATGATGCTATTGATTAAAATTGCATTGGGTTTTGCTGTTGGGAGATCAATGAATAGCTCTAGTTTCATGTGCTAAGTCTTTAAAAAGAGAATTCTGCCATCCAGTGGCTTTCAAATAGAATTATAAGTATAGGTGACATGACCAAGTCTAAGTAAGAACATTTAATTTCACCTTGTTTCTGCACCAAGCCAGTGAAAGCATTACTGCAGAACACTTATCTGAGAATTTACCTGTGAAATTCTTTCTTTTCAGAGTTGCTGAGAAAGGAGACAGTGACAATTTTTTTTAATGCTTACACCTTTCTTTTGTTTCTCTCTTTGCAGTTATGTGGCTGTGGTCTGCTGGGTGTGGGCATCTGGCTGTCGGTGTCGCAAGGAAACTTCGCCACATTTTCTCCTAGCTTTCCATCACTTTCAGCTGCCAACCTAGTCATTGCCATTGGCACAGTGATCATGGTGACCGGCTTTCTGGGCTGTCTAGGTGCTATCAAGGAAAACAAGTGCCTCCTGTTGAGCGTAAGACATCAATGCTCCTTTTCACTAAGGAAGTGATTGTTGCTTTGTTATTATTTTATTTGAATGATCAGTGCAAAATAGCCTTGTGACTCACTGTAATATTGCCCTTGGCTTTCAATCCTCTGTATGCTTGCAGTATGACTTCCCACAGCTTTGATCACAGTGATATCAATGGTGTATTACAAAATGTATCCTTGTCACTATGTGCCCTAATGTATTAGATAGCACAGAAAATTACTATCAGCTACCTCTAGTTAAACATGAACTGTAGGATCAACCTGGATAGCCCTTCTAGAAATGCCTGTTGGAAAGATGGACTGAAAAAATCATAAGCACAGAGGGGCTCAAAGCCTCTCATTGCTATTTTCTACATTTCCCTTACCTAAGGGCAGAGGGTGGTGGAAACTATTTGACCGAAAGTTAAGAAGTCCAGGTCTCTGCCAGCCCTTATCAATTAAAAAAAAAAAAAAGAAAAAGTCTGATCCTTGCCAGTTGCTGTTCAGCACTGAAGCACAGA